GCGCCCGGCGTGAGTTTAAGCCACTGGGTCCAGGACTTGAACTGCGGTTGGCTGCATGGGAGTTCAGCAACATAGCCATTACACTAACTGCTGGTCCCTTACAGCACACTTTCTGTGACAACTTCACAAGCCTAGAGGTCAGACAGAATGCTCTTCTACTGTGAGCAAGTCAAAGGAACTTTTAACCCAGGTATTGCAGTTAGACACACATATTTCTTTTTTTTGGAAGATGTATTCCCCAAACAGCCTGGTGGAATAAGAATTCTGAAAACACCATCTATTATGAAGGCTATTTTTGATACACCAGATGAGGATCCAAATTATAATCCACTGCCTGAAGAACGGCCAGGAGGCTTCGCTTGGAGTCAGGGCCAGCGCCTCAGAGGTTAATGCAGCAGTGCCGATATGAGACCCAGCTGGGAAGGACTCAGTGAAGTACCCACCAGGATTCTTTTATCCTTTGTTGCAAAAGCCTGGACACTTTTGACAGTGTGACAGATTTCAACTCCAGAAGCTCTTTATGAAATAGTACACTGGTTAATCCAGAAGATTTTTCCAGTAGTTTGCCAGTGGTTCCTCACTACCCTGGAACTGAAAGTGTGATCTCTTGGAGGCAAAAAAACTGGAGAAATAGATATCCGGCTGCCTCTAACAAGTACCTGAGTACTTGAATTCTGTGGTATAAGGCAGGGTTTTTTCCTCCTCTTTTTTTTTTTTTTTAATATATTTCAATTTATTTATTTGCATTCATTCACTGTACATCATTACAGCATACAAAATGAGATTTTCCATCCAGAGTACACTGTATATTGTCTCAATCAAGCACATCAACAAACATGCTATTGTTAGCAGATGATCTTCCATTTCTCCCCCCCCATCCTTGATTCCCTCTGCCATCTCCCACTCTCCTCCCACACTGTCTCTGGTGTCTATGTTTGCTTTCTATACTGTTTCCCCCGCACATTTTATTGAATTAACTAAAGACCTTAATTAATCTAAATATTTTCATAGCAAAAAAACAGCTGATATATACATTTTCATGAACACAAGTCTAACTTTAGGCATCCTATAAAGTAGCACCTAGCTGGGGCTATATATCATACTGCAGTCATCAAATAGATATTTT